GCTGAGGCCCGGGGAATGGATGCTTCACCCCGAGGTGGTGAAGCAGATATGGAGAGTGTTTGGCCAGGCTCAGGTGGGCCTGTTGCGACTCATATGATATTGCACTGTGCCCTCTGGTTCTCTCTGACTCATCCAGCTCCACTGGGGCTGGATGCCATGGTACAGACATGGCCGAGGCTTCGCCTGTACGCCTTTTCTCCGATTTTTCTGCTCCCGGCAGTTCTGGAGAGAGTGCGCCGGGACGGGACCCGTCTGTTGTTAGTATCCCCGTTCTGGCCGGGCCGAGTTGGGTCTCAGGCCTGATTTCTCTCCTCGATGGCGCTCTATGGGAGATTCCCGTCAGGAGAGATCTCCTCTCACAGGCGGAGGGCGCGGCCCCACCCGGAGCTGTGGGTGTTGTGGGTGTGGCCTCTGAGGAGGCACAACTCATAACTTCCGGTCTCTCAACCGAGGTTGTTGAGACTATCCTCCATCCAGAGCTCCCTCTATGAGGAAACTGTATTTCTGCGGACACCGCCAGCCCGACCCAGCTAACTGCCCGTTTTGTACAGTTCTGGAGTTCGTGCAGGCCTGTTTATCCGCAGGGTTGACCCACTCCACCCTAGAGGTCTTCGTGGCGGCCACTGCGGCCTACCACGCCCCTCTCGGTGGCCATTCAGTGGGAAGACACCCTCTTCTTACACGTTTCCTCTGTGGTGCGCTGAGGCCGAGGCCGAGGCCAAAGAAGCTTATGCTAAGTGGTGGATCAGGATGCTATTCCATAGCCTCGAGTCCTCTGATCTCCCCTGTCCTTTGGGGGTCAAGATTCACTCCTCCAGAAGTTGGCCTTCGGGATGGCGGGCCCCGCCTACTTCTCTCGCCCTAGCTGTGCAGTCTTCCACACTAGGCAGAGATTTGGAAGTCTGGTGGCGTGGGCATTCTCGTTCCCCTAGCGTTTTCCGACGCAGCTCGAGTTCCTGAAGAGGAACGTCTCAGGTTACGTATGTAACCCTGGTTCCTCGAGGGAACTAGACGCTGCGTCTCGGTGCCATACTTCCGGCATCCCTGCCAGCGCTTGCCTCATTCCTGAAGCTGACGCTGGCTCCGCCGCACGTGCTTTTATAGCTTCCTGGTCATGAGCTTCCCGCTCAGCTATTGGACTGATTTCACATGTTATTCAGAGCGTGGTCACAGAAGGCGTTCCCCTAGCGTTTTCCGACGCAGCATCTCGTTCCCTCGAAGAACCAGGGTTACATACGTAACCTGAGACGTTTCTCTCCCTATACCAGTTTTATCTAAAACTACTGACTTTTGTTAACACTTTTAGTAGAGATTGACACATTACTGTTACACTATTTAATCTTTGTGTTCTCACGAACCTTAAAATAAAGTTTCACACAAATAAAAAAGAAAAACACACATTCAGTAAGAGGTTTAAGGTCAGTTCTGTGGGTTGAACGATGAAGGTGGTGTAGAAACAACACCACTACAATAAATAAAAACAAAACAAATGTGGAGACTACAAGTGAAATCACAAAAAAAGCAACAGTTAAATTCACAATACGGTATATCTATTTAAATATAATTAATATTTACACCACACAGACAAACACATTCAGTATATGACTATAATTCATATATAATTCATTCAAACGGCTCCCCGTATGTAACATAGGTTTCATTCTTTTTTTTTTGGTAGCATATTCAAGTTTTTGCTTATCATAATAGGATGGATAATCTCCCGCTGAATTTGATGTGATAGACTTCATGTTGAAATGAGGGTCTCACCTCCTCCTGGGTCCAAAGCATTTTCCTTTAGCTATGATTTAGTAACAACCCTGCTAAGATTTCTTCAATGTGCTTTAGCCCTCACCCACCCCTTCCCTTTAAACCCATTTGCTCATACAGAAAGACTGAAGAGAGAGGAAACATATAGTAGCTAGTAGTTTCCATGCATGCTGATCACATGACCATGCTGTGCTGTGATCTGTAAAATAGACAGATGTTTAAATGTTTACAATTTTCATTCATGAAAATGCATAAAAAAGTTCAAACAACAGTATATTTTTGCAGCATGTGTACTGTGCACAATATAGTTTCAGCATGCTGGGGATTTGCAACAGCAAAACAACAACAATAACAAAGTTTTGGTCGAAACAAAATTATGAAGGGCTTTTTGGTGCAAGAAACCTAACCTAACATTGTAAATGGACACAAATCACAAATATATACACTGTCATTCAAATGTTTGTGGTCAGTAAAATGTATTGAAGGCAGTAAGATGCATTAAACAGATCAAAAAGTAGCAGTAAAGACTTTTATAATGTTACAAAAGATATATAAGTTAGAAAAAAAAAGGTATTATAGTCTAAAAATAATCTTGCATGGATTTTCAGTAGTGGGCACAGATGTTTGGACCACAAAATGTTATGTGTGTCATGTTCAGGTTCAGGGCTTGTTCACTCACCAGTGCAGAGCTGGAGCTCACATCTCATTGGAGAAGGAGGTGGGCTCACCCTGACCATACTGATTATAGCCTCCGCCTTCATATCCACCGCCCTGCTGGCCGTAGTCGGGCTGGTACCCGCCCTGAGAGCTGGCGTAAGGTTCCTGGCCATAACCTTCTTGCCCATAGCCTAGAAAAATAAATTTAAAGGAGAATATAGTGTTAAGTTGTGACTATCATAAATATAACACCACAGAAATATCTTAATGGCCCCGTATTTAAGCTTAAAGTGATAGTTCACTCAAAAATGAAAATTCTGTCATTAATTACTCACCCTCGTGTCGTTCCAAACCCGTAAGACCTTCGTTCATCTTCGGAACACAATTTAAGATATGTTTGATGAAATCTGAGGGCTCTCTGACCCTCCCATAGACAGCAAGGTAACTACCACGTTCAAGGTCCAGAAAAGTACCAGGATGATCGACAAAGTAGTCCGTGTGACATCAGTGGTTCAACTGTAAAGTTACTAAGTTACGAGAATACTTTTTTGCGCAAAAAAAACAAAAATAACGACTTTATTTGTTGAAAACAAAAATAACGACTTTATACAGTCGATACTGTTACTGAATGCATGTTACATGATACTGTTGTGAATGCAGTAGAGATGAAAGTGACGCAGTAGAGACGAAAATGTGGAATAAAGTCATTATTTTTGTTTTCTTTGCACAAAAAAAGTATTCACGTAGCTTCGTAACTTTACAGTTGAACCACTGATGTCACACGGACTACTTTGTCGATCATCTTGGTACTTTTCTGGACCTTGAACGTGGTAGTTACCTTGCTGTCTCTGAGAGGGTCAGAGAGCCCTCAGATTTCATCAAAAATATCTTAAATTGTGTTCCAAAGATGAACGAAGGTCTTACGGGTTTGGAACAACACGAGGGTGAGTAATTAATGACAGAATTTTTTTCATTTTTGGCTGAACTAACCCTTTAATCCAGACATTAAAATCTTGCACTGTGACTGTAATGCCCACCCTGGCCGATGGAGTCTGGTGCTGGCTGCTTCTCTCCTGACGGCATGTAAGTGCCAGCAAAGGATGCAAGCCAACCGGTTTCCTTGAAGACGAACCACAGGTTCCCTGCCCACAGCACCACATTACAGAAGCCAAATGCCTGCGGCAATCAGATATATCAGCCAAATGCTTACTTGCACATATGCATTCATTTGTCTACCCAAATACATCTTCACCCTGCTTCACCTGATGAAGCTACTGACCGTTTCATTAGACTAAACATGTACGGTTCACACTGGATGTTACAACATCATTCTTAGTTCTATTTTGACAGCAAATTTGTTTTCGTGCCATTAAAAATGAACATTGTGGAGAGAAAAACTTTCCTATCTTGAATGTAAAAGTTTATTTACAGATGAATCAACATCATGAATCAAAGTTGAATTTTTCTCAACTTTTTCTCATTAAATATATTTCTAAAGATGCTGTTGACATGAAACTTTCACCAGATGTAGGTAACAACCCAAGTAACCCACACATACAAAGAAAACAATACAAATAAGTTCAGAAATAAAGTTCTGTGTAATAAAATGGAATGACTCAGGGGGAAATTATTGAACACACTTACTGAAATTTATTTAATACTTCGTACAAAAGCCTTTGTTGGTAATGACAGCTTCTAGACGCCTCCTGTCTGGAGAAACTAGTCGCATGCATTGCTGAGCTGTAATTTTTGCCCATTCTTTCACACAAACAGTCTTTGAATCTTGAAGCTTCTGTGGGCTTCTTCTATGAACTCTAATCTTTAGATCTTTCCATATATTTTCTATTGGATTCAAGTCAGGTGATTGGCTGGGCCATTCTAGCAGCTTTACTTTCTTTCTCTGAAACCAATTGGGAGTTTTCTTGGCTGTGTTTGGGATCAGTGTCTTGCTGAAATGTCCACCCTTGTTTCATCTTCATCATCCTGGTACTATAGGTTTTGGGACTGAAGCAGCTAATATTAATTTCCACTGACTAGTTGCAGGATTGCTTTCTAATTACTGATAGATTTCAGGTGGTGTCGTGGCTTTTCATGCCCTTTTGCACCTCACTTCCTTCATGTGTTCAATACTTTTTCCCCTGTGTCATTCCATTTTATTACACAGAACTTAATTTCTGAACTTATTTGTATTGTTTTCTTTGTATGTGTGGGTCACTTGGGTTGTTACCGACATCTGGTGAACATTTCAAGTCAACAGCACCTTTAGAAATATATTGAGAAAAATGGTGACGTGTTCAATACTTATTTTACCCGCTGTAAATACTATTATAGTAGTTATTAATAATATTTTTAATCATTTCTATATTTTCAGTTTAAAATTTTATTTTAGTTAAAATGTTAGTAATTTGTTATGTGCTTTTGTCATTTTATATGAGTTATTTTTAAATATTTAATTTAGCTTTAATTTATATTTTTTATTAGTTTAGTTTTAACTTTTAATTTTTTTAGTTTTCAAAAGTTTTTCATTTTAATATTTCAAATATATTTCCGCTTTATTTCAATAAACGTAAACAATTTTAAATGGTTTTAGTTTTCATTAACAATAACAATACCGATCACTGTTAAATTTAGCAAACTGAATGAACAAAGGTTGTTTCAAAGTATTTCTAACATGGATGAATTATTTAGCATGAAATGTTGTTAAATGGAAAAAAAACCCAGCTTTCATTATTTCAACCACATTTCAATGCTGAAGTTCAGTAACATTCTGGCTGGGTTTGTATACAGCATTGCATAATGCAGCATAATTATCAGTGCATGATTATCATCCAGGAGTCACATCATCTTGTCATTCCTCATTTGCATAATGCTGAACCTGTCTCAACTGCCCACATGTGCAGCGTCGGCGCCACGGGGGGGCCCCAGGGGGCCCGGACCGGCCACCTAGGTCACTGTGCCCCCTCACCTCTGGTAAGAACATCACCCCGCCCCCCGAACGCGATTTCAGCAGCTAGAACTCAGCACCACTGTGCCCTCTTACTTCTTACTTCTTACATAATAATTAACTAAATATTTTTTAAAAGCTATTTTGTAAATAATTTCTTTTTTTTTACCGTGAATACAGATAATAAATTAATTAAGAGTAGAAGTTGACTAAAAAAATACTTAACGTCATGACGTATAGGTATAGTCATAATCAGCCAATTACATACAAGCTGCTATTACGGCAGTGACGTAATTTAGTTGACGGTTGAGCGCGGTGGTGACTCATAAGTGCAAACTGTGCGAAGCTGTTTTTTTTTCTAAAATATTTAACGTTTAGCTTAATTCAGCGAGCTATGCTAGCGGTAGACCCCCCCAGTGACACATCGAGGCCCCCACGTTCCGTATGCCCTGGCGCCGACCCTGCACATGTGTCATCGTCAAATTCTAGGAACACATTTAATATTTGTGCATAATGACAGTGTTAAACTCTCTGTACCCACCACAGAAGTGTTTAGGCCGGACATCACGGGCTCATGGATTTCTTTGCAGCGGTTTTCCTCGCGGTCACACGCAGGGATGAGGTTGATGACCTCATCAGGGTCAGTGGCCCTCTTCACATCCGAGAGACCTTTGGCCCACGCCGATGAACTCACCAACCACATAAAGGTAAAAATAGCTGTCACCACAAAATCCTGTAGAACGACAAAACACAACTATAATTCAGATTTTGGAAGTGCATAATTATAATTTTTTTCACTGGAATACACATTTTAATGGGTTATATAATATTGAAATAATTAAATATTATGCTTTCACTACCATCCTGATATGCTGTGACATTCCCCCTGTTAAAAAGAATCTTTCTGACATAATATTTAAAGAGAAAGACATTTTTTTAACCTCATGGCTCCAGCAGAAGTAAGCTTTTCTTACAGTCTTTCACTATGATTGCACTTTCATCAAGCTCAACAGTTCTCAATAGTTTTCCCATAATATGGAGAATAGTCATAGTGATCAGTTTATTATAGGAATATTATGCTTGGCACAAATGTAAGAATACTGACTAAATAATCTAGTGGATCCAGTGACATTTGTTAGTTAAGGCTGTTAGACATTTTGCACTCATCTTCAGTCTCATAACATTATATATTTTGACATATCAAAAAGAAATATCATGGGTTATTACAATTGTTGGTAACACCTTACTATAAGGTTCCATTCGTTAACATTAGTTAACTACCTGCTCGCCAATGGATGCTCTGCAGTGAATGGGTGCCGTCAGAATGAGAGTCTAAACAGCTGATAAAAACATCATAATAATCCACACCACTCCAGTCCAGCAATTAACATCTTGAGAAGCCAAAAACTGCATGGTTGCAAGAAACAAATCCATCATTAAAACATTTTTAACTTTTTACTTCTGGCTAAAATACAAGTCCATAATCCATAACAACACTTCCTCCAGTGAAAAAGTCCATCTCCTGTTGTACTCTCACATCAAAATCCACAGACACATTTGTTTAGAGCTGCTTTTGCTGTTTTCTTTTCGTTTGTAAATGGTGCTTGATCTGTGTAGATTTCTCTCCTGATTCATAGAACTCAGCAATATTATGGATTAATACAGTAAATGATGGATTTGTTTCTTACACTCACAAAGCTTTTGGCTTCTCAATATGTTAACTGATGGACTGGAGTGGTGTGGATTACTTGTGGATTATTGTGATGTTTTTATCAGCTGTTTGGACTCTCATTCTGACGGCACCCATTCACTGCAGAGCAAGTGAAGTAATGATACCTTTCTACAAATCTGTGATGAAGAAATAAACTCATGTACATCTTGAATGGCTTGCGATTGGGTACCTTTTCATTTTCAACTATTCCTGTCATGGACATGAGCTAAAATGAACTAACAATTAACTTAAACAGCCTCATCTTTCATACATTTGTAGATCATGATAACCACAGATACAGCACCTCACTACCTAATTGCCTTATCTTGGCATTGTAAGCATATGATTTAAAAACATTTTTATATAAAAGTATTAGTAGAACATTTTATACATCTTTATTTGACCTCAAAGCATATCAGCAACCCCACAACCCCCCGTGAACTAAAATACCTTTCACTGTATTTTAACAAGCAACATACAGTATAAATCACACAAAAAAGTTATATTATAGTTACGTTTTACTAGTGGCCAATTTTTGGAAGGGCTTTTTTTCTTTTTCTATAATTACAATAATGCAGTATCAGTCACACTGCATTATTGGCTCAGACTCCAAAAATGTTCCATGAAGCAAAGATGGCAAAATTATATACAGGTGCATCTCAATAAATTCGAATGTCGTGGAAAAGTTCATTTATTTCAGTAATTCAACTCAAATTGTGTCACAAAGCTTTTGGCTTCTCAATATGTTAACTGATGGACTGGAGTGGTGTGGATTACTTGTGGATTATTGTGATGTTTTTATCAGCTGTTTGGACTCTCATTCTGACGGCACCCATTCACTGCAGAGCAAGTGAAGTAATGATACCTTTCTACAAATCTGTGATGAAGAAATAAACTCATGTACATCTTGAATGGCTTGCGATTGGGCACCTTTTCATTTTCAACTATTCCTGTCATGGACATGAGCTAAAATGAACTAACAATTAACTTAAATAAATAACATTAAGAAATATCAATAGCATATGTATTGTTAACATTAACTAACAGGACATTGTAAAATGTTACTAAATAGTTTACAGCAAGAAGACTGCAAGACTCACAGCCTGAGCTCCTTTGTTTCCCTCGCGGTATTTCTCCAGGAGGAAGATGTACACAGAAATGGCTGCCATTGAATAAAGGAAGGAAAAGACTCCGATGGTGACAAAGAACTCAGCAGAGGAAGAGTTGTTTCCCACCAGAAACAGACGTTCAGGCTCCGGCCCTTTACACGTAGGAGCATCAAACCATACCTGGTGCAGTCTGTGGAGAAAATCACTTGGTAAATGTCTGTCAGCAGTTACATTCCCTTGACCAGATTCAAGTTAATTCACGAGAGTAAGTTTAAAACATTAACATTAAAGACTTTTTAAGACACTTTAAACCCTTTTGAAGCAGTGGCGCCTTCAGATGTACAGCATGAACGCTCCGACTGACCTAAGAAAGGTTTTCCCTGCCAATATTTCTGCAGTTATTACAGTATGTGTATGTCCTGTGTTTCTGATGAAGGCTATCATTTGTAAATTAATTTTTTTTTTTTAGTTCTAATTCTTTTAATTATTTTTTTTCCTTCTTTTTTTCAGCCAAATGGGTTTACAAAACGGCCTGAATCGACTCACATTCATCTGGACCGCTCTCGCATTCAAACATCTAAAATGTAGGGTTTCTGCATGGTTTTTAAGCTCAAATTTAAGACCTTTTTTAAGATCTGCACGAATAAAATTAATACCATATGAGTGGGGCAGGGCAATGTCTATAGTAACATATTAAACTGTTCAATGACTTAAAAAAAAAAGCATGATTTACAACTCAGATACAAGTTTTCCCAAAAACAAAAAGTTTTATAAAAATGATACATTATGTCTGCTGTGCCGTGATCTAACTGGACGGGAATGGCAGTGGGACACTGACCTGAACGGGTAGCCAAACTCAACCTCGATGTTCAGGTCACTCTCTGAGCGGTTGTGACACTCCACGCTCATACGAAACACTCCAGAGTAACCGCCGCAGGTGGAGAACGCAAAGATGGCAAAGAACTGAGGAGGAGAAGACGAGAGAGTCAGTTATTCTGAATAAGTGTGCAGAAAGGCAACTAGCATGAAACAGATGCTCATGTACAATAATCCGTAGTTCCCAACCTTTTTTCCTCAGGGCCCCCCCCCACGTACATATGTGACAATCTGAGCACAACCCTCAAATATATATATATATATATATATATATATATATATATAGTTTTATAAAAGTAATTAAAAAAGTAAAAAAAATATATATATAAATGTTTAAAATAATAAAAATGTTCACTTT